TATATGACGAGTGTTGAGTGTGATGGTCTGGTCCAGAGTAGACTGTTGTTGGTGGTGACTGACATCAGGTAAGAAAAAGGATTGAATAGAGTGAATGGTTTGAACCCATGATCGTATAGGTAAGAGTAGTATTCAGAAAGAACGTTGTTGGTGGTGAATGACATCAAGTAAGAAARAGGATTGAATAGAATGAAGGGTTTGAACCCATGTTCATATGATGAGTGTTGATTGTGATGGTATAGGTAAGAGTAGTATTCAGAAAGACTGTTGTTGGTGGTGACTGACATCAAGTAAGAGAGAAGATTGAATACACTGAAGGGTTTGAGCCCAGGTTTTAGTATTGGTGTGAGAAGGACTGTTCTGTTGCTCATGGTGAGATGTCAATCAAGATGTACAATGTATTGCTGACATTACACTTAATAATTGAAATAATTGTAATATCAATGTCATTGTCAGGTAAAAACATAAAACCCTGAGCATGAAATAAAGCCACAACATTTACATATTCCCAAAAATCAGAACTTAAAAATTGGGAGGTAGAAATGTCCCTACTTTTGTAAGAAAAAGTTATAATTCTAAGAAAAATAACTAGGGAACTTGTATACCATACAGCACATTTCCTTACCTATAGCCAAGAAGATATCATTTACATTCATTGCTGTCTTTGCTGACGTTTCCATGAATAACAAGCCATTTTCTTCTGCATATGATTGTGCTTCCTGGAAAGATGTAACAAAGCTCTTAAATACAAGGCTCAAAATGATAGCCTGTCAATAGATGGTGTCTAGACATTGCCTCTTAGGCTGGTCATCTTGAGCAGTTATATTGACGGTTAATATGTTAATAGAGACCTTAAGCAAAGCGTTCTTGATAGGTACTGCTAACCTCAAACTGCAGTTCAATGTCAGGCATTTTTAATCAAACTTTCAACATTTAGCAGAGCGTTATTACAAAGTAGTTGCTGGAAAAGCCGTCATATTGTTTTTCATTGATACTGAGTGTGTTTGACGACATGTTTCTGGGCCTGACCCCTAGCAGTTAGCAGCAAACCTGATGCTTAAGTTACTCCTTGATCAGCTTTTATTTTCATCCATGTAAATCATTACCTTAGAGACTGGTAATAAAGTAGAAGGTGGGTGGGTGGGGTGATTTGAAGCATATGAACAGCGAGGTTCCGGGAATGTCGTAGCATGATACAGTGTATATTTGAATATAGTTCCAATTTAACTATATTGATTTTGAAAGACTGAGCTATTATTTATAAAACCCTGTCTTTTCACAGCTCATTGAAGGGTGACAGGAAGGCCCATACATGAAATTTGACTCAATAAAATGTACATACTGTAACATCTATCAGTTCATAGTACCTCATAATCCACCATCCTCTTACTGGACAAATCTGCTTTATTTCCAGACAGTGCAATCACAATATTAGGACTAGCTTGTCTCTGTAATTCCTTGACCCACGTCTTAGCTCGTCCAAATGTGTCCTGGTTGGTGATATCATACACCACAATAGCTGCTTGAGCACCTCTGTAGTACATTGGCGCAAGACTGTGATATCGTTCCTGACCAGCTGTGTCCCATATCTCAAATTTGACCGTTGTATCATCCAGACAGACAGTTTGTGTTAAAAATGCAGCTGTGGGGTAAAATTGTTACAGACAGTTCAACTACACGTGCAATAATCTTTCCTGGCCTTTTTCTCAATCAATTAGTGGGTCAAAACTTTGTCTAGAGCCAAGTTAAAACTAAGAGTAGGCATACAGCACAACATCCTGAGTGTTTGCTATAGAGCTCTGTAGCTTGGGCATAATGTTTAGTTCCCATTTCAGACCATACGACCATAAGAAAAAATATATATACCTCCAATTGTACTCTCTTGATATTCATGGAACTGTCCTTTGACAAATCTCAAGACAAGACTTGATTTACCAACGGCTGATTCACCTATAAGTATAAGCGAATGAAGTAAATAAAAGTATAAAGGAAAACACATAACATAACTTTGAACTGATTACAATTTTGTTCACCCATTTGAACCAATGTCAACACACCAAAGTTTATTGTTGGGTTATAATATAAGATACACTACGGTAACATAAATTTGATGCAATGCCWCTTCGTCCCAAGAAAATGATTTGGAAAATATGTAACAATAACTCCTAATTAAAGCACAGTTCTTGTTATCATAAAATATATGCAGGGCTTAAAATATTGGCTGAACATTGGACCATCTCTTGCCAGAACTGGGACTTGTCTGGTCAAACCTTTGTCTTGCCAGTCATTTTGACCAGTAATGTTTGGTAAGAAATAAGGTATGACTAAGCTAAAACTAATTTGGTCTGTGATCATGAATGGTGACTGATTGGCCATTATTTTAAGCCAATACAGAGAAATATAGTGTGATATGCTCCAGTCTGTTACATGTACATACTGGCAATGGCTGTCTTCAGTAAATACGGTAATTGCACTAGAAATGTTTTAATCTGTGTTCTGGGATACCCAGCTCTTTTGAAGAACAGGAATGTTTACCATCTAAATCAATCCAATTAATAACTCATTTCTGCTATGTATCATACCATGAACACTTCCACAAGTTTTTGTCTTCCTTTAGACATTTTTAAAAAACAAATTGTGCACTTAATAAGCACTTCACCATAATATGCAGAGTTACCACATCAATGTCATGATGTCGCACAAATTTAAATTTAGAAACTCTGCCCCCTTGAGACATGAAAGTGAAGCACTGGTTAGCAGGGTTTGAGCCAGAAATTGATCCATCAGGGACAAATTGGCCCTCAGACAATTATAAAAAGGGTCAAATTAAAATTTAGGGAGTATATTTTCCATAAATTGTACAGTACGAGAGGAATCATATTTTTGTTGGCAATGTCTTCTTTTGCAAGACAGTAAGACGACTTCATTGCACGTATGACGACTTCCTTCTTTTCGCCAATCATTTGTTCTTGATTAGAAGTAAATGTTGCTCTTATAAAGTCCTCTTGTAACACATTTTTGTGATCTGTAGTGTTTAAATGCCAGGTTAAAGTTGAGGTGCAGATATTAACACCAAAAGAATTGTTTGTTTTTTTTTTGCTTTCTGACAAAAATAACAAAACATTTTCGATCGTAGTTGTGTAACCATGGCTCATCTGGCAGCCATCTTTGCAGAAAATTTCTGGCTGTGCTTGTGTGAGGCTCATTGCACTTATTTTTTCAAGGTTTGATCTCCATCTTCAGCTTCCTGATCCTGCATTCTTTCTTATCTTCATCTTTAGAATTTTTGTCAAATAAAGTTGTTATTGCTTACAAGTACAGTACAGTCCAGATGTATGTCACAGGGTCCACGCATGTAATTTGGACGGAGTGCGTTAATTCATTTCACGCACAAACGTGTAAACTTCAGTGCTTTGAGACATTGACGCACTACACGCGTTTGAGTGTAATATTCTTTTGTCATAACAAAGGCCATAGAAATTCAGTATAAATATCATTTATATTCCACATGTACGCATGTATTCCGTTCAACTGCATTAATCCAAACGATTTCAAACGTCTGGTGAAATCAGAGATATGCATGTATCATTCAACTGGATAAGAGAAATTCAAATGATTTTTAAAATTTTTGCTTCAAAAACGAAAACATCTAAAAAATAACTCAGATCATCAAAACTAAAAAATAATTAAGCAGTAGAATCAGGTTGGCTCAAATTTCTATATGAATGCTTTTTTTTTCGAGTTTCTATTCAAGCACTAGTCTTAAAAATAAATTCAGAACGTTTTAAAACCCTGTTTATACTGGCGATTTTTACTGCGATTTTTGTGGCAATTTTCGGAAACATAAAATCTTTTGTCTCATCCTTCAAAAGTGACATTTGTCTGGGAAAATCTTGGTATCCTGAATAAAGCTTTACGAGTAAATTCTTTACCATTATTTATTACCGTAAATCTTCTATTTAGCCCCCTGGGGGGCTTATTTATTTCAGGCACGTTTGAGGGAGGGCTTATTGGAGAGGGGGGCTTATTGATTTAGTCGAAAGGCAGTATGTAATATGATTGTAACTCAGGATTAAACGAAAGCATTACTATTGACCGTCTTGCAAAATCTGTAGTGATGTACATGGCATTTTTATTATTTGATTCACCTGTGTTAGTCTCTCAA